CTCTCCCATACCCAACATTTGATACATATCAAACATTTAAATTTAGAATGGAATATATAGAAAATCACATTTTGAATAATTGCTGAAGCAGTCTCCAAAAACTTTGGAAAAATCGGAGATAGTGTTGTCGTTAGTGTCTACGTGTGGCTTTGACCTTCCTATTATTCTATCTAGGCCACTTGTGCTTCTTTGCACTTTCAGATGATTGTCGCTCGGTTATATTACACTTATTGTGTAATTTGGCTGCATGCATTTCATACCTGAATCCGTCACCATCTACAGGTGGTTAAACACTTATCACACTCTTCACGAGGAAACCTTGATGCTACACGAACAATTTTGTTGTCGGAGAGTGAGGGAATCGGTCGAAAGCTGGAAGAGTCAGCACATGTCGAAGGTCCAGGGCTCGGAATTCCACCACTGCGTACATGCCTTGACCGGTAAGAGAAACATTTCAGTATCAGTATTGGGCCAAGTGGTCCCACCGCGTGACGTCAAGCACAACCTCCAGATCCTGTATACATATTGTCAATCACCAGATTATGCTTGTTGTTTTGACGTACGTCAAATTAGTACTTCATAATTATTACGTGAGTAACTACATGGCATGCATAACGTAATAGTGAGCACGGTAGACAATTCTTGCCCTGTTACGGCCAATTCCATGAGCTTACTCAGTCAAGAGAGAAGATTCTACTGCCCACAAGGAGACACCCATCGGAAATGAGACACTCGAAAGAAACAAAATTGTGATGAGACCGAACCAGCGAATGGAAATGGACGCAAGTAAGTAATGGGCACACCCGAACACGATTCAGTACAACTTCGGCATGCAAGCAGGCCCGCAAACTCTTGCATCGGCTTGACTGGGAGCATGATATTTTTCGACAACAATATCGCCTTAATGATTATGGCTACGTGCATGGAGTGCAGTATGCCATCCTGGTCCATAAAGCTTCAAACCCGCAGAACCAAGTAGTTTAATTCCACATTGCGAGAAGTCGTCATGCCTGCCTAGAGAAGAGAGGTGACCTTTGATATTTATGACCTTATCAGGCTCTAGCGAGGGGCAAGTAAAACTAAAGAGAGATACTGTAACCTCAGCTTTTCACCGAATCCCATATATTCTCCGGCCCTACTTACCTCCACACGATGGAGCCCTCACTAATGCTACATTAACGGTTAACTGCCTTCCATAGAAGCTGATGATGTTGTTCGGTACAGCACACAGAAGCAATTCGGGCATGATGAGTTCTCGCCACAAGCAAACTCACCGAGACATTGTCCTTGTTCATGTGAAAGTGAAGACGGACGGTAGTGGAAACTTAGTTTGTTGTGCAGTACAGATGATGCTCAGAATATTTTACTAGCTTGGTGCGCAGTGATAATTAGTGTAGATTAAAAACCCTGAGGCCGGCCAGGGTCGTCTTCCTGAAGGAGTCAAAAATCTACCTGGTTGAAGAGAAGAAGGAAAGCAATAATATTATAACCAATATAATATACATCCTTCCTGGTTACATATTATTTTATTGCGGCATGTTTCTACCTGGAGCTTGGTGCTTTCACGCTCTTACATGCACTGATGCCTCTGCAAGGCACCGTGTCCGGGTCCGTCATCCACGGGGATATTCCTACAGGACTTCTCCAAACAGCTGTGCTACCGAGCGAGCTAGGATCGCTTGGTGATCGCTCTATCTCTCTGACGATGTGAAGAGGCATATGAGTGGAATGAAATCATCTGTCACTCTTCATATGAGTCTCCAATGTCGCAGAGCAGACTACCAACATTTAGCCCTTGTGCACCAAACTCAACCACCAAAACCTGCATATACATACTCATATTGTGCTGGCATCCAGCTGAAGGATCACATAGTGCTGGATTTCCTCCGACATAAATCCTCTTTATCTTACCCTCCGACTTAAATGACGAAAAAGTTTCACTGGATAAGACATCCATATCGCCCAGTTGTGCATGAGACCAAAAATGAACAAAATGGCACTTCAAGTCCTGATGGGTGTCACAAATCCATGGAGATTCTGTTGTTCCTCTACTCCGTTCCCTTGATTCCAGATTCCAGACGTCATACTTAACTTTCACAACGCTGCAATCTACAAAGTTTAAGTTGAGTCTGGCTAGTGCTGTCCCGTGGAACTTATCTGGCCGAAGGGACCACCGTGCACTTAAGACAAAGAAATAAATGGAAAGAGCACTAGGGCCTTATATTTAGGTCTTTCAACCATCCTTTGGGCTGGATTATGTTTCAAACGGGCTGCTTAATCCGGAATTGGATTGTTGAGTTTGAAGTCTTCGGAGGAGGTCTTAAGAATGTTGACCCTCGAGAGACCGACCCTCTCTATTGACTGGTTACCGTGGCATGCCACCCCTCCATCGGGCTCCATCATTCTTCTTGACCCAGCTTCAGGTATCCCAGAATAATTTCCTATTCGTTTTGCAAAAAGCCTTGGTTTCCGTTTAGTTTTTCCCTTTGTATGGTTTGATGGATGTTCCCATCAAATTTTCCTCATCTACTTGGATCCTATTGGCTTTCATACCACTTGGTACCCTCCGAACATCCTTCCAGTTCCTCCGTACAATTTTATTTACCTTGCCAACACGCCATTTAAACCATTCAATTTATAATTTATCTATGAATCGAAGAATAGTCATTTTTTTAATTTTAAAAGTAATTGGCAGTAAATCCAAGGAAGAAAATTCTAACACATCAGTTTTTCATCTCAAGGTTTAAATTTGTTCCATGTAAGAACAAACGTACTATATTAAATGATTGCTACACTCATAAAGTTCTCTATAAAACTACTCTCTAACATTAGCATAAAGGAGAGTAACATCAATTTTGACTTATTACAAGCACTATACTGCAATTTTAGGTATATATCTTTAGTATTTTTATGATTTAAAAAATTGAGATATTTGTACATAGGATGCGTTTTACACTTGAAAGCGGAGGCATGTCAAATCTATATCTTATGAAGTTAAATAAACCCACGTTGTGATAAAAAAACACCAGATTTTCCACTAGCTTCTAAACACAATAGTTGCGACCTCAAAGACTCAACTCGAAAGTCGAATTTTTCGAGAGGCGTAATTTGAACTTTACTCGTGAAAATTAGATATCATAGAAGAATTTCGTGGTCACCTTATGGTCAATCTCAATGGAACTGACATCATGTGCGAATGCTACAGTGTAAGGAAAAGCGTAGAATAAGCTTTAACTTCACCGTGTGGAATCACCTTCAATTGTTATATAGGCTTTTTCATATTAAGCGGAATGCTGTTACATAAATCGACAAAATCTTGGATAAATAAAGAATTGCTTGTATCCATCGCACATTGTAATACAATTTGTAAGTAAGTCTAAACACCATTTAAAGACTCAACTTCAAAAGTCGAATTTTTGGAGAGGCGTAATTTGAACTTTACTCGTGAAAATTAGATATCATAGAAGAATTTCGTGGTCACCTTATGGTCAATCTCAATGGAACTGACATCATGTGCGAATGCTACAGTGTAAGGAAAAGCGTAGAATAAGCTTTAACTTCACCGTGTGGAATCAACTTCAATTGTTATATAGGCTTTTTCATATTAAGCGGAATGCTGTTACATAAATCGACAAAATCTTGGATAAATAAAGAATTGCTTGTATCCATCGCACATTGTAACACACAATTTGTAAGTAAGTCTAAACACCATTTAAAGATCACTATTTGTGTGTAGAAAATTATATCATTTCTTCATTAAACAAGATGTTTCCTGATTGATGCAAAAAAATCCTCTATCTGATGTTTAACTAGATGTATATGTGTAGTTCAAACAAGGTGAGGATCGAAATACAAAAAGTCCATAAAAAGTATTATCGGCTGCATCGAAATTTGCTAAGCAAGTAGTTTATGGTTCAAACCCATTAATGATACATTTTTGTCTGCATCCTGTTTGCTTAAAATATTTGTTAATGGCAGTAAAACAAACACCCCGTGGGAGCAACTTGACTGGAAGTTGCATTCTGCTTTCGGGAAGGATGAATAGCTCCGTGCACTGCGAGTTGGTAAAGTACCTCAACGTTTGTATGCTTTACACGTGAAGTTGAATAGGTAACCCAGGTAAGTAAGAAGGAAAATAGGCCTCTTTTCATTTCTCCCACCTGGGTACATGACAGATACTGCAACATGAGCATAGGTGATGTGAGCAGGGCCATACACCTGCGTAGTAAGCCAAAACAAGTTCCTATTGAATCCTATTTCTCATACAAAAAAGTGGACATAGTGCTAAGTTCCCATTGGAGATATCGATTTCCAAGTCAATCATTGCTATGTGACTGGCTCACAGCAATTTTCAGTGTAGTCATCAGCGTGGGTTGACGGTTCAGGAACTTGGTTCTGTGTTCACCACCAGCTTTCTTCAGGAACATGTTCATTACAACAAGTCCATTCCGCCTTTAACACGCCCATTTTCTTCAAATACTCATTCAAATCTCTTCTTTGGTTGCTACCGGTCATCCTTATTAAAAGCCACGAATTTCAATACGCACAACGCACAGTGGTTAGAAAAACATATTACTTGATGTGCTGACATACATTCGCAATACATAGAGCTCTCACCAGGAGTTGTATGTGTAGATTTCCATCGCATAGATTTGACTAGTGCACATATCAAGTTTTGAGCTGTTTGAGTTCATGAGAGATACTCTACTACAGCAAGAGTGTACTCATTAGCATGTGATTATCATAGACTGAAGACTCTTGGGGTTATGGTCTATAATAAGCACGTAAACCATTTCAGTAGCTACTCCAAGAAAATAGATTAGAGAATAAAATAGTCCTGAAAATTAGAGACAAAAAAAAGGAAATATACTGACATGACTACGATAGTGCAGAGTAGACCATGAATTCACTCGACAGATGGAAAGGGAAATCAGAAAATCATAGCGAGCACAATGAAAAGCCCAGCACAATGGAAGAAGTTACAAAGAAATTTGAATATTCCTCCACAACTTTTATTCTGGGCAAATTGAGTTCAATTGGTGTCAAGGTGCAATTTGTCGGTTGCTCCTCACCAATGTTAATCTATGCAACTTGTTTTGACTTCGGGAAATCCCGAAGTCAAAACAAGTGCAAAATGTAAAAACTGTCTGAGTTCATATCTTTCCTGCGTCATGCGTGCGGTCAAGGCTTCCAGTGAAGGAAAGGATACTTCTCCAAAATATCTCAAGATCGTTGGCATGTTCACGAGCAACTTGTATTTGGAAGACGTCCGCGTGTCTGGCGAATCGGGTTGTTTGAAAGACTCACGTCACATTCTGCATCAAGAGAAGACCACATAAGTGAGAAAAAACTAAATGATGTACAAAAAAATATATTGGCAATCACTTCAAGTTCATATATTTCAAATCACCAGCAGGTTTTGAAGTAAAACTCGAATCCTATTGAAAAGTAAAGTATATTCTTGTCTACTCTCAGACAAGCCATACTTTAGAGGTCAAGTGCTGAGACGAGTCAAGACGATCGATTATCACCATACATGGACGGAAGATACCAGAAGTCGCTTTACCTTCTTCCCGTGTAGCCGCTCCTACAGCCAGCCGTGATGTTCTACGTGGATTTATGATAACTGCAAGTCTTCACTTTGGGAAGACTAGATGTCAACCCCCAAAGAGGTCCTGGATACATTTCGAGGATGCCTGTTGCGCACAAGCGAGTTACTTTGACTGCAAGGCTGCATCCGAGAAAGAAATACCTACTTTGGAAATAGTTGCAAGCCCACTTCTAATTGATCTGGAATATGATCAAAGTAAAACGAATTGTACAATGTTCCATCTGAGTACGACAGAATTTCACAAACGGGTCGTTTTTGAAATTCTGTCGTAAGAAATGAAAAGGCTGAACTTTAAAAACTTCCCGATACATAAGAGGTCCAATTCACAAACGCTAGGCAAGAGGAGAACAATCTAGATAAATCGATTTTCCTCCTTACATATGGCTTCAAACGTAAATCCGCTCAAGATCTTACCGGTTTAGCAGAAATGAAAACATCCCGAAACTGGCCAATGTCTGGACATTTTGCTTCAGAGGTTCACTTTGAGGCAATCCCTTAACCACCAAGGTCATCAGCGGATCTTCTAAGTCCACTAAAGGACTCACGGAAAGAAAAAAGTCTTCCCTTGGTTAAGCTGCTTCTGAATCCAGTCCCAGTCCCAGGCTTTGGGTTGAGTTGAGGAAGGTGGGTTGAGGGTGGGAGTGGCCATTCTATCTATGGATGTTCCTAAAAGCATATTCAGCAAAACTATTACTACTTAAAGATTCGCCTTGGTGTAATTCGTGGGTAGGAAGAAACTTGTCACAGAGCTCGTCAGTCTCACATCTATCTCCACCGTTCAGCTGCTTGTTGACTAGCTTTGGAACCTGAGGTGCCTTGGGCCGTTTTGTAGTCCTTGAAAGACTAGGGCTCCTTAGAATAAAGTCATCATCAGGGTTTCCCGGTTTCACAACTTTTCGCCAGCCTTGATCAACAGTCGCTTCTCTAATTCTTTTGGGCGGCACCGCGGCCGGGGTCTTGCCATTGTTTCCTTTCTTTTCAACCCCATCTGGACCAGACTCTCGCTGAGATTCCTCTATTACTTCAGCGACTATTTGCAGAATGCGAGCCCCGTACTTGTTGCTCTTCAACCTAACATGGAAAAGAAAAAAGTTAGATCTCGAAAACTTCTAACTCTTTATATGCATTATTCGATTTTTTCTCCGCGCCAAGCCAAGACATTTTGCAGTAGTTAATTGGATGTCATGATGAACTTACTTCCCTATACCATTGACCTCAAGCAACTCCTCTGTTGTTCTCGGTAATTTTTTGCTAATTCCTTCCAGCTCTGCGTTTCTGCAGACAAGAATGGACATCGTCGTTGGTTGGTAAGTCATTGTGCGCAAACCCAACAAATTCATAATTTAAGCTGAATAGACAGAAGGCACAACGAGCAAATACACCATACAAAGCGAGACAAAATTGACATCTCGCTAAACTGTCCTCTACGCACCCCATAATATGATATGGCATCAGGTTTCCACCGGCTTCGTTGACCAAAGTTTTTCGAAGAGATAGTAGGGCACCATAGATCCTGCTTGAAAGAACCTGAAACATTCACCATCAAAACATCAATCAAATCAAATCGAACATAATTGGCATCTCAAATGTACTGAAATATAAAACCGATTCGTGTGAACGGAAAAAAAGTTAATAAGAAGCCCAGAAATCGCAACACTATTGATCGGTCCTTACAGGGTCCACTTGAGCCTCATCAGGTGAAGATGTAGAACTTCTGCTGACAGATAGAGGCATCTTCTTCGATGAGGAATCAGCCTTTTCAGGCTTCTCAGCCTTCTTTGCGGTAGGAAACCTAAGATATCATTTATCACGTCAATTACTCAGCATGTAGATTCGTGCGTCTTGAACTATCCTGAACTTAAAATTCCAGGAGCAGACTGCAAGAGATTGTGCTTCATAGTACCTCATCACGACTTTCATCCGCCCAGAGATCAGAGCTCCTGCATTGACGTCATTGACCTAGAAAAGCCCAGTGCAAGATCTTGAGATAGAGTTATGGAGACAACGTTCGAGAGCAGCTTCGAGTTCGCTTACTTCTTAGAAAACTCAATCCACAACTCCACTCACAACGGTCCAGAACAGAGTTAGCCGACATCAAAGCAGGAAGAATTGTTGACGAAGGCACTCACCTTCAAAACCGATGACACAGAACCGTAGAGGTCGCTCTTGCTGACATCTTCCCTCAAAATATTATCGAAAACCAGACGATGGAGGATCCGTTCCGCCTCTCCTTTGCTAAACTTCTTCCCCGCTCCATGGAGCTCCAATTTCTCATGCTGGAACTTCTTGATCTGTTACATCCGAAAGATCTTAGGAACTCCAATGTGCTTCTTGTAGAATTCCCACGTCTAGCAAGTGTCAGAGAGCAAGCCTTCCGAGCAAAATGAAGCCACGCGATGACTTCAATGAGCCGTCTTTCCAGCCCGCTTGTACGCTTAGCTATGAGCAGGTTACACGAAAACCAAATTATTAATTCAACAAAAAAAGTCTTGATTTCAATAATTATTTAGCTAAAAGCAGATGCGCCAACATCTGTTCCCTTGGAATCAAGCTCCTTAGGATCTTACTTGTGCATTAAGTGATCCTCTAAAGACATCCAGAATATGGCTTAGAGAAAAGCGTTGTCCCATTTGCTTCACCAGTTCTACCTGGAAGACAATAGAGCAATAACTTCAGAACAACACAATAGAGAAAGAAGCAAACAAAAACCACTCACCAAAACACCAAGGATAGCATTGGCTGTCTTCAGCATCTATATAGGATAGTCGAGAGGGACGTTTTCAAGTATACTCAACTTCATCAAGGTTCAACCACGATGAATGCTGTTACTGGCTTCAGTGCATTGGTTTTGACTTATGGTATGCTTTGATCATAACAACTGTGCGTAATCAATTTCAGCGTTGGTGGTATTTTAAAAGGTATATTTATGCAGCAGTTAGGAAGAAATTACGTACTATCTGCTTGGCTACTTCGCTGACATCCTCTTCCACAACGCTAACTGATCGAGCACAGTTGTCACATGTACCCTTGCAGCTTGATGCATTGAAGTTTAATTCACCAAAATGAGCTAGCTGCAAGGACCTTCGGCAATCAACTTCATTCTCGCAGTAACCAACCTGCACACAGCAGAACACATCTATCACTTGTGTATGTTGTGGATTGTTCAAGACTAATTAGCGTATGAAAGAACTATCGAGATTTGGAAATGCAGCATGAGAAAGAGGATGTACGAACCATCCGCAGAAGATTTTCCAGGTTAGTGGTGAGTTGAATTGAAGCATTAGAAGTTGGATTGAAAGATTGTCGATTGTTATTATATCCAGCCGTGTTCTGCTCTGCTGCTCCTTGGGTCAGCATGTGCTTGACCCGTATCTTTGAACAAACGATGACATGCAGGTCAAGATTAGTCTCTTATACTGATCTTTAAGGTATTACAGCATTCACTGAAAAATGTCACGTGGTTCCCATTTTCATCATCAAGAATGGACGGTTCTAGTATTATTCATTTTTAAAAGTTAGGAACAATAGACTTGCGACTTCTCAGAGAAAACAGCACTAAAATATAAGAACGTGCTTACATAATCTCCATAATTGTAGTAGAGAATACACGAAGCAGGAAGATTATCCCTCCCTGCACGGCCAGATTCCTGTGACCAAAAGTAATCATATTATGATTGAGCGACTTTCCATCAGCGAGGTGAGCACGATTCAGGTCATTAAGAATGCATTTACCGCTCGTTGACTATTCAAGCAAACAGCTATTGACCAATCAAGCAAGTAGCCATTGTCCATGGAATCTCATTACCTGATGATAGCCTTCGATTGACTTGGGAACCGAATGGTGGATCACAAACCGAACGTCTGGTTTATTTATGCCTGTCATTCAAGTGGCTAATGTCAAATATTGACTTGATAGTGGACAGAATCTGCTGAGTACGTCATGGACTCGTATGTTTCAGGACAGGATTTGTGAGCCATGAATCCGTAAATCGACGTATCAATGGTACAAAGCAGTAATGTGGTGAAATCAGATACTCGTACGCACCCATTCCAAACGCAACAGTAGCACAAATTATGTGCACTTCGTCCTTGCTCCATTGCCTCTGAACGAGGTTTCTCTCGTCAGGTTCCATCTGACCATGGTAAAAGGCAACCCTATGTCCCAATTCCTGTCGATGAAGGCACAATGACAAGACTCTGTTATATAATGACTTTCAGCCTTTGTTAACCAGGACCTGTTCAAAGAAAACAGCAACAAATTTCCAATCCAAAGGTCTGAGATGGCAACACAGAAAGAAAAGAAAGCATACCTTTAACTTTTCAGCCACCCTTTCACAATCCATCCTCGAAAGGCAATAAATAATTCCTGATTCATTTCTGTGGTTCTCCCGGATGAACTTATCTATATCTTCCATTACCTTTTTTGATTTAGGAACAACTGAATATCTGAGAAACAAGAGTCAATCAACTGTCTTAGTCGGACCTCTATTGAAAATTTTATGCGGAAGGTCAGAACAATAAGTGTTGCATGAGAAATTTACCTAAGGTTGGGTCTATTGAACGTCTGTCTGAAGATGACACAATCTTTAAGTCCGAGAGCTTGCACAACATCTTCCTTCACGCTCATGGTAGCAGTTGCAGTTAGTGCCATAAGGGGCACACTTGGAAACCGCTGTTTTAAGACGCCAAGATTCTGGTGCGACACACAACGTATCGACGAAATTTAATGCATTTTACACATGGAGTTTAAGGAACCTTTGTCCGCGACAAGAAATAGAGAAATATGTAGAAGTAGTAGTAACGAAATTTTTTTCAAGAACTGAGTTTTGAGAAACCAATAAGAGCTTAGATCACGAGCCTTACCTGATAGTCAGGACGGAAGTCATGGCCCCACTGACTTACACAATGGGCCTCGTCTACAACAATACGATTCAAGAGATCCCGTTTGTATAGGTTCTCCAGATTTCTACAAAGACTGTCGCTCCTATAGATCAAATAACCAACAGTAATAAGTCTTAAAATGTTAAACAGGTTCATAATGAGATTTTCTCGAGTGTTTGGAGAAACTTAAGCTCTCTAAGGAATATATAAAACTTCCTGGTAGTACTTGGCCTATGGGCAGGGGATTCAAACTCACTTTGCAATTTTTTCCGGTGTCACATATAGAAGCTTAAATTCACATTGCCCTTTATTCAATTCCCGCATTATCCTCTGTTGCTCTGTCCAATCTTGACTGCTGCTCAGATACGCAGCCGGTATGTTGGCCTGTTTATGCCATCAGCAATCGTAAGAATGCTCAGAAAAGGTAACGATAAACGTAAGATCATAAGTGACTCATAAATTGGAAAGGCGAATATAAACAGTAGAAAGAACTTATTGAGATTACTAACCTCAGATAAATGCATGATTTGATCCATGATAAGGGATACCAGTGGAGATATAACGAGCGTAACACCAGGCTGACAGATAGCAGGTAGCTGCAGTGAATTCCGAGGTGATTAAGCCAAGGTCTCATCAGCCCTTCTTGTGATTTCAGCTTAGATATTTCAAAGAAGGGATGGAATCGATAAGTAAAAGTTTAACTGTTCTGGAAAGCCCAAACTTCATATATTCCGGTTTCAGTACAATTCTAGTGCCGTGAAACCGTTGTGTGATGATTGAGGTGAACAAAGACGCGTATAAATTACCTGGTAGGTCAAACTTTTCCCTCCACCTGTTGGCATCAGCACAAAGACATCTCGTCCACTCATTGTTGCATTTATGATCTCTCGTTGATTAGGCCTAAACGATCGGTTACCAAAATACCTACGGTTGTTGACCTGTTGAGCGACAGAAATTGAAAGCATCAGTCGCGTAACTGTGACCTCAATCAAGGGACACTATGATAGACTTGAATCAAAGGATCTTCGATCATCCACAGCATTTCGATCATCTCACCTCAAGCTCCCTCGTCCATGGAAAATCCCTCCGACTCCATTGCTTGTCTGTAGATCCTTCCGTGTAGTTAACCTCTGCGAATGGAGTAGGCGTCTTACAGAATCCTGACAAATTATTTGTCTGGTTTTCAAAGCTAGAAAAGGTCACCGACTGATTTTGAAAGGGTCCTATGTTCTCCTTGTGCGTCATCAAGAAGGCACTCTGTTCATAGTCCACCCTAACCCCAACAGGCCCGTAAGTTCCTGCGACAGTCGAATACTGCCCATTTCCAGAAATGGAAGTGGGGACTGAATCCACGTGATTTCTTTGGCCCATGGGTCCATTTTGAAAAGCAGATGTTTGTCCATTCGTGCCATGAAGACCAGGAGTAGTAGCTGCAGGAAAAGTAGAGTGAGACCTTCCAACTTCTGGGGTAGAGCATTGGAGCTGCTTTTCCAAACTTTGTATTTCCTTGTTCAAGGTAGCTCTGTCAGAATTACACCCACAAATGTAAGATGTAATGCCAGTCCAGCATGTTTGACAACACCTATGATACTGAACCGTGGGCTGACGATTAAGACTTCATATCAGAGAAATTTTTCCGACATCTTGAATTCTAAAAACAGAACAAGTAGGACTAGAAAAATTGAAAAGCAAACCTGTGCATACGAAGCGTCTCAGATCTACTTGGACTCAAGTCGGCTGCATTATCCAGAAGTTCGTTAGAGACTTGAATGAGTTCGTCTTTCATCTCCTGTAAATGTAATGTGGCCTCCCTGCATTGATGAACCTACGCCGAGAAACGATTTCAGGTAAGGAGGAGCTATCAATGAGACATGAGATGATGCAAATCGTGAGCTTGCTGTTATTTGTGAAGAGTATCTGAAATCAGTAGATCATTTTGTGCAATTATCGACTTCGTCTGTTTGGCTGGGACAGGTTGTCACTCTCTTATCAAAACTCATCTGAAGGGCATAAATAGACGAAATATATTTGCTAGGAAAACTATATGAAAACTTTAAGATTTCTGAGAGTGACATACAAGCATTTTAAGAACTACGGAATGAATACTAGCCAAAAATAAATTATGTTCTTCGATTGAGTACTATTCTCTTTTCCTTCGCAACAATAAAGATATATACTGGAGTCTAAAAATCCCTTGGCCAGATTTGCTGGTTAGTAACCTGATTTTCCGATAATTCACTCTTGCTGACCCATTTCAAGTACGAATTGAGGTAATAGAAATAAGATTGAGGTCTAGGACCATGTACGAAAACAGCATCAAACGCTGTACCTGAAAGCCGTGTCTGCATGGCTGTCCTTGGACAGCTTGATCTTCGGTAGACGCCCTCGCTCCTGGTGTACTCTGTTGGAGATGCTCGTGAACATGCGGAGTTCCGACCAAGTTTCCATCTTGACGAGAGATAGGTGTCTGTTGCGAACATCCTTTGTCGTAATGTTTAGAGACAATCTGGTCGAGATCGATCGTCTGCGCAGGACAGTTCACATTTTTAGTCGATGACACAAACATGGTATTGGTATATCATAGAGGGGGAGATCCTTATACTTCCAAAATCACCTCACCTCTAGTATGTCGTCATCGTCTTCCAAAAGATACGGTTTCAATGCTGAAGCTCCTTCGTGCAACTGCGAAGTTGCTGCTCTTAGTCCCGTGGGAGCGACTGTATTGTTGTTCCTCGTATCATCTTTTGTTCTGGCAACATTTACTGCTTGATCATTCTGCCAGGTTTTTCCAGTTGGTGTTTCGGAGACGCCAAAAGGCGCTAGACCTCCACCGGCACTTGAATGGCTGCGTGTTTGACCCGCCTCCGAATGGTTGACGTTAGTTGTGTACGTCGGACCGGTGCGGGTACCAGGAGCCGAAAACGGACTATCTGCCTGAGGCCGCTGACCTGGCTGAGCTGTAAATTTTGGCACTGCTTGTACTTCATTAAAAGTTGCTGTGAGGTTGCTTCGAGGTGCACCGTCATACTTCTTGGAGGTTTGCTGGAAAGGCGTGGGTTGAGAAATGAATCCTGATTTAAGTTTACCCTTTTCAACTGGAGCACTAATTCCTGGCCTCCGATAGTTGTGACAGCCTTTTGGTGCGACAGACAGCCCTTCCCATGCCTGTTGATGTGGAAATAAGTTAAAAACAGAGTTCGTCCGTTGATTACAAATGCAGATAATATCATACCATTGCAGAGAGAAACTCTTGGTACAAGACCAGCATTTTTTATGCAATGAGAGTCTAACCTGGAGTATAGACCGCTTGATATGCATATCCAAACCTTTGATAACACAAGGTTCAGTCCTGAAGGGAAAGCAAATAGTTGAATAAGTAAAATGATCAGACCAGTTAAAGATAACGCTGATAAAGGACGAAGTGCGGTCAAGAATACAATATATTTTTCCTCAATGTAGGTACCATGCAGCTAGCATAATAATCCGCAATAATCATCAACAGATGTTGTAGCATCACAGTAGGGGCAGCAAGCATCCACATTCTCGAAGCCTGCCAAGACCATCTTCAGAGTTCACATCAGATGAAACTGACCTTGTCGCAGTTCCTGGATCACCAGCTGCATTTCGATTTTGGTTTGGGAGAGAATATACGAAAGCTGAAGACAGCCCAATTTTTAGCTTGGAGGAGTCTTTGAGCCATGAAATACTTTTATCAGCATTATGTCTCACCGACTTATTTCCACCATTTGATTGTTCAGCCCTGAGCTCCCTGCATATTGAGACAGAGACAGGTCATCCCGAGATTTATGGTTCTGTTCTCCATTCATTGTCTTTGATATTGACAGAAGATTATCACGCTGTTTGCATTTCAGTTGTAGAAACGAATAGACGGGAAGCAGGAGCCAACGATCCATAAAGCAAGCGAAGCTTCTGGGACGAAATGACATGGCGAAGAAATCTCTCGGTGTTCACCTGTTCAGGTTGCTCTTCTTCATCAGTCAGCATATTCTGTACGAGCTGCAGTCCGAGTCCACGGTCAGTGTTATAGGTGAAACAGATATATTTTACACACATAAATGCTTCCGTAATTTCAGCCAAGTGCAGCGACAAGTCCTTTAACAAAGATGCGGAGGATCTTTGAAAAAAAACAAATTACGCCAGCTTCCACTTTGAGCTCCTGTTCGTCAACTTCTACATTCCGAACATCATAAACAATTTTCTTAAGAATTACTCCTGTGATGCTGGAAATCCTCAGCAAAGACATACTTGCCTTGCGAAGCTTACTACAATTAGCAGCGCTTAGTCTGTACCTTTTATAAAAAATCACCCGTCCTGCAGGCTCTCAGTGAAGACTCAAATCCATACAAACCGTCGTGCATCTCACAACAGAGCTTCTTCCTGTGGCAGAAATGATCGAAAGAAGCAATGCCTTAAAACCCTACTAAGTCGGACCTGGACAATTCACAGCAGCCCGTTCCAATCGATCAAAAGAGAAGTATGCAACAATTTCGAATTGGCTGCTGCCTCGAATTCCAGCTCTTTGGATCCCCATATTCCTGCCACAGCTAGGGCACATCTGAAGCTGAAAATCGCAGTCGTTGATGAACTGCAGCTACCGGATAATCATGTCAGCTTCAATTCCAACGCCAAATTGCGCCTACGATCATCTGGGAAGGACCAAGATTGTTGCCAGACTAATTCAACAGGAAGTGCAAAAAACCTTCATGTCGTAGCCCGCGTGGTTTAAGAGCTGGGATCACGATTCTGATCAAGCTCTGGCATTCGACGCGAGATGGCCACACTCAAAATGGAAAAACCGGAATTGAACCAGATCTGAATAATGGAAACCAGCTAACCAGCTCAGATCACCTCTACATCCGTCCGACAAGCCTCAAAGTGAAGGTAAGAGCAAGTTCCTTCGAGTCAACAGATCAGATCCCTCCATAGCTGCTCTGTTCGAAGAGCACACAATTCGGACGAAGGGCATGGAGAGTTTCGATTGAGCATCGAGAATGCAAAAGCTCTGTACATTGCAGTTTGGAAAGCCACTGCTGGCTATTGCCGGTCAAAACCCACTGGTGCCACTGGTTGAGCAGGTCGAAATTTGAACACCCTCAACAATGGCGGGAAGCCAGGTCCCGCCGATGAAGAAGAACAGATCGTATTTCTCCATTGGCGTTTGTTCTCGTACATGAGCAGCCGGTGACTTTGTCATACGGATACGTTTTCCTCCGTCAAATATTTCCTCGGTGTTGCATAGGCAAAACAATCTCACGTTTATTAATGTGATTTGAAATCGATTAAGATTTTACATGTCACAATCAAAAATATTCATTTTGTATTTCAACTATATTTGAACTATACGATATTGTGGGTCAAATGAAAAGCACAAGAGCTTCACACAATTTATGACCACATACCCTTCAAGTGCACAAGAGCTTTCCAAAACGTGTCATGTAATGTGAGTGTTATGTTGTGTACCTCTAATAATTCCAAATCATTAGTATCTTGAACTCTTTCCTTTGAATTCACGAGTATCTTTTACCTTTGATTTTTCCCTCCCCTGTGACTTCTCTGAATAGTTGTACTTTTGTTAGTTAATTCATGCTTTACTTCTTGTTAAAGTGTTGACGCATCTTATACATATTGTATGGAGGGAGAATCGAGCCCATATTCGTGTGAAGCGTAGAACCCGCTACAAAGTTAAACCTCCCAATAGTGATGTACATTGGTGCTCAAGTTTTACGTCATTATTGGAACTTGTAGTTCACAAGAGTAAAGTGATCAACCTTGAGTATAACCCAGGCCTCCTAAATTCTGGGATTCATCTACAGAATTAGCCAAAATTAAAACTTGCGGCGTCCATAGATTAAGTATGCCTTCAGTGTCATAGTCCATAGTTAATCACGGTGCAGAGACAGTGGAATGGGCCTTGTATGACGTCTAGAATGAAAAGTTGAGCTTTTACGAAGAAGAATCAAAGAGTGATTTCTCTTTTGCAAATATTGGTTAGTGTGCTTGATGGTGCGTGAAGCTTTATAATATAATCTCCATGAACTTCTTACCCGATATCCCTGTCCATACATCTAAGACTATATTCCACTGGTTATTATCTTTTAAGTTTTTTACCCGCTGAAGATTTCTCATCAATTACAAACTATTGTTGCTGTAATCCATATGTCCACAAAAGGGTGTAGCATATACCACTTGAGTCTAGAAGTTTGCTCCTTTCTTGCAGAATTGATTTTGCACACTCTTAAAGGTGTGCTGTCACATGGGCTTGATGTTACAATCTCATTTGAAGAAATCCAAGTGGCTCTTAGTTTATACATATTCAGTTTCTAACACTCAAGAAAATTTATCGGAGTCAAATTTAGACCATCATCGAGTGATAAAGTGAGTTTCTGAGTAAATCCCATAATTAACAAAATTAAGAAAAATAGAATTTATAATTTAAGTTAATTTCGGTAATTATGGTAATTCCTAGGCCTTACGAGATCTAGTATAACCTCATAATAGTAACATACATTGGTGTTAGGGGTAGATGTCATCATTTGGAGGTTTTTATTTTATTTATATATGTATATACATATATATAAAACTCATAGACATCTTAAACTACATTAGGTCAGTCATAGCACATTCTATAAATGTGATTTTTGGTTTCAAAATCAATTTCATTTGCACATCTGTATTGTTCACTGTGATTAATGTAAGAGTTATAATTGCGTTTGAATCCACAAAAAATTGAGTGAAACAATTGATGATAATATATGTAACAAAGTATTTTACTGAAACCTAGAAAGGATAATTTGTTGAGAGATACCTTCAAATAAACTTATGTCACATTCTTATTTCTCATAGCCATGTATTGAGATCATGGTAGAACACTAAAACAGTCACTATAGGATAGAATCATATCACTATTGACAATAATGATGTACTGTTATTATTGAACATATTTACACGGTAAAAACTAATGGTTTTGGAATTCTAAGTCACTAATGAGAGTATGCAGTTCACTAGAGTTGACACTAATGGGATGTTGAACTCTGTACTAATATATGCGAGTCCATTAGATATAGAGATAGACCTGATCATATTCACCATCATTAGAGGAGTTCAGATTGATTCCAGGCACGAAGCTCAGAAGCCGCAAACGCGTAAGAATCAGTACCGATCATGCTTCAGTGAACATCTTGCAGCTGGCCTGAACTGGGTTGAATGTCCTGTTCGTTCCACAGTTCGTTCCACAGGAAGTCGAGTGCAGTCCATCGAGTTTCATGAGGTTTCAAAGATCTAATATGTCCATCATTCTCTTCGAAGAACACCGATGTCATAACAAAAATTGTCACAGGAGTCAGTGCTTCAGTCGCGGCTGATCATAGGTCCCTCTTCCATCCCACTGACAGTAGTGATCCAGATTGTGTCCTGGAGTTTGGTTCATCTTGATTTTGCGGTTCACTGATGACCACTTGAGCTAGCGTATTTGGACGTCATGGCGAGACAAAAACTCTTGGCAGTGATGATCGTTGCGTTGGTAGCGGGGCTATCGAATGTGGATTTAAGCGAGTCTCAAGTACTTGGTAAAGTGAGATTCACGAACAAATCGAATAATCGAGATTTTCAGTTCCTGACATCTGTTTTGATGGCTTTATAAAGCTCAATTTTGGAGTATCGATTCGAACCACAAGCTTGAAGGTTCTCTGGTTGAGCATTACGTGGTCTCGTCAGGTCCAAGATGCGTGAGTACGACTAATATCTACATTAGGTTGTAGAAAGAGGTGCACCTACAGGCAAGTGATGTCTTCAGCCAAGAGATGTGATATAATCTCTTAACCCTGAGTATAAAAAACACAAAATAGGATCAGCTTGACTATGATCTCTCTTTGATGCTACGTTATTACCGTAATGTCTTTGTCTCTTATATTGGCAGTATATGTGCCTTCAACCCTGTATTTTACGTTTGTGGTTTCAAATTTTTTTTGTAACTCAACCCTGGAAAGCTGTTTACAGATTAAAATAAAATTATTGTGATGGTAAAGTATTGTATTTTATGATACAATTCATGTGTACTATAACACTACATATTATATTATAAAATATATTATATATATACACTCACTTGCATCATGAATCGGCTTCATGGTCAAGTTATTCACGTTATAACCACTCTCAGGGCTAATAAGGCTGGAAGAAGTTGGCAGTTAAGCGTGCAACTAAGAGACCTAGAATCTCTTGGTCTTATGTGGAGTCCACTGCGTTGATGGTTCTTGATACTAAACAAGACCCATTAGCGAAATATTTCTACAAAAGATGCAGCTCGTCAAAGCCTTGAACTGTTTAATGTCCAAGGGCATAAGATTGAGTTCCACTATTTCGTATACCTTTCGAGTGACATCACCTTCCGTAATATTCTGGAATAAAGTTTCGCACAGACTTCATAGCCAAACTTTTAGAACAGTTAGCTAGAACTTATAATAGTGTCAACCTTACCATTAAAAAAGTACCTCCCAATCATTAGAGCAGATTCACAACTCTTGATAGATCTGGTTACTGATGTAACCAGACGAACCAAGTGGATTTGCTCCTTTCACCTTTTGAGCTCATAGGTGTTGTAGAGTGGATTACGTGAGGATCTCATATGAGGTGTAAAATAGAGAATGTCGGTTATGAGAAGTCCGCGGCTATATCTAAGTCGAATAGTGTATAAGAATATACAGGGTGGCATGCGTGGACGTGCACAGAATATCAACCGGATGAACGACGAAAGCGGTGTGTTCCACCGACGTTATGATGTGATCTGTTGAGCTACTAATGATCACATCGTGACAGTTGCTTCTGCTTTATTCATGATCCCAGTGTAGCCACTGAAGTCCTTGGTTCTTCAAACAGATTGATCCAAATGCGAATTGGTTTGCAGGTCAGGTAAATCAAAAGTACTCAATCTACTGGTGACACGAGCACGAAGGATGTACTGCACTAAGTTCCCAAGCGTTCAGATCCAGCGAGAATCACGACTAAACCACCTAAAGGATCATCAGACAAGCTGAAAGTGTTTCCATCATCGTCTTCATGAGGAGATTGCCTCATAGCTGTGAGTTTCCATATCCACCTCTGTCCAAAGCCAGGTCATCCCAGTCTGATCATCAAGGTTCCGAATATATTCATCAAGCAGGACCTTAGAGCCGACGTGCACATAATCAACTAATGAATCCGAGTTGTAACTGTTCGACTGAAAAGGGAAGCTGTCATTTTCAGGTGGTGACAAGGAATTTCATAGCGGCACAACTTGTACAGCTGTTTTCAACAATCACCAAGCAACATCTCGTGAATGATAGCACATATATTGCACGCCCACAACATTCAAGCGTGGGGATTCGTGAGACAGGATTGACCCAGTATGGAACTGTTGGCACATACTCCTCTGAAAATTAAACGAAGCGTAGTCAACATTGTCACCACGCGTCGTTTCAAAGCTTGGGTCTCGCACTCTGTCGGTACTGGAAAGATGTCTGACTGAAAATAAGCTTCAAGTAGAGAATTCGTAATCAGTGCTTCTATAGAAGAGGATCCTTGCCGACCAGCAATACTCTGAGATGAGGTACAGAAGCTATGTCGGAGAAATTCAACGAACTGAATCTTGAACTGTTGTTGATAAGGACAAGTTTTCAAACTCACACTGCTACCATTTTCCGCTGATTCCTGGTTATGATGAGTGACAAAGAGTGGCTAAATCTCTAACCTGTCTTCGTCACCAAATATCAACTTGAAGTATTGCAACTCGTCTCGAATCTTCCGATTATATTGCTCATGAAATTTGCTTTTCAGGATCTAGCAGTCTAAGTCCATCCTCGAAGATGGAACCTCGAAGGAGGAAATCTGGACATTTTATGAGTAATACGACGACATTCAAAAGATGCAGCCAACAACGTGATACTGGACAACCCGAAGCTTTTCTGGTTACATCGCAGATCGGTTCTGCAATTCAACCTTTCCCGGGCCAAGGAAGCACAAGACTTTCATAGGAAATATCATCCACCTAATAATGAGTAACAGGATGGATATTTATTGAGGTCGTTTTCCAGAAGTGATGATTGAAAGATACCTCAGTATGGCCCTTATGACTTCGCTCTAGACTCTCTGTCTAGTCTTACAGTTATCAGCCTCCAGATTTTGATTCGATCGCAGATATGGTAATCTGGTTTACAAGGATGGCAGGCTGCTAAATTTATAATGCATAGCAATTAACTTCAATGTCCTACGCGTAGAATCTGTGGATACAGGTTTCCCATTGTCTACTCTTTTGGAGTGAAGAGCATTGCATCTAAGACAATTACTGGAATAGCGGAAACCGTCTAATTCAGAAAAAGTTGAGAAGATCACAACACTAGTTGATCAATGAAACATTTGACAGAAGATCGTCATGACCGAGCTCCGAATGATGGATAATTTTATCTTCCCATTTAGAATCTAAAATCTAATTTGAACAAGAAGCGAATGGTTACATCAACTAAAATATAATTTGTGAGGTTAAAAGTGCCCACTCTCCGGCTGCAAATTTTACAGGCAGAGACTCGAGCTGAGGAGAAACGAGGCCACCAGCGTTGTCAGAGTGAACGTGAGACTGGCAGCCAAAGCCCGGATGTCTTCCGGTGCTCCTCCTGGAATTGCAGGAGGAGGAGGTTCTGTGGATTGGCTGCTATGGGGGCCTCGAGCAATGGACTTAGGAGGAGGAGGAGGCGGAGGAGGAATTACAAGAGACGAAGGAGCTGGACCCGGGGTCGAAACCGAGAGATTCATCTCGATGGGCATCGAGTCCCCGAAGAGCTCATAAGGCAGAAGCACGGTGTCGATGGCCAACATGATGAACGGCGTCGCTTGGAACAACGTGGCCGTAATGGTGGCATTTGATCTGCCCGCCGCGACATTCACCACGCCAGCTGTGGAGTTTATGTGCAGAAGGAACGATCCCGGTTTGTCGAGAGTGGTCGCCACCGTGTTCACAGGTAAGTGCTTGAATTCCCATAGATCGCCGAGATCGTAGAACCTGTCCAGAGCGTGGTACTCCATAAACAGCCTCTGCTCGTCGTCCGAGAAGTTCTGAAACCACTGGCCCGGCAGAAGGTTGAATGCGTCGTCAGTCGGGGCAAAAACCGTGATCCCTTCTGCAGTGGACTGCCTTCCCTCGAATATGGTGTCCACTCCAGTTTGCTTGAGGAATGATGAAAAGAGGCTGAAGTCCCCGAACGAGTCCAGAGTTGCTGTAATATCGGTCGGTGGTTCCGTGGTGCTGCTCACAGGAGTGAGCGAAGGGAACGTAGCGGGCCGGAGGACTTGATCGACTTGGATGATGCTGATTTCGCTGACGACCTGCGTGATGTTAATGACGACTCTCGTCTCCACCGAGTTGTCCAGGAGGACGCTGGGCGGCATGTTGGCGATGAGGACCACATCATCCTTGGCTCTCCCGCCGGGGGCTGATTGCAGGAGCGAGGCAACGGACAGGTTCGTTTGCAAGGCTTGCAGGCCCGGCATGTCGAAGAACTGCATAGCTACGTGGTGGCGGAGGAGGTCTCCCATGAAATCATCGTTCGCGTTTGGAACGTCGGCCTGGAATGCCGAGAGCACGTGATTGGAGGGTGCGAAGAGAGTGATGCCTGTTTGGGCGTTGATCTCGGCCGCCACTTTGGTCTTGGTCAGCAGCTGGTTTAGCAGACTGAAGTCGGGGAAATCACTCAGTATCTCAGAGATGTCGAATTCTGCAGCTGCAGACATTTCAACAGCGCCGCAGGCCAATAGCACCGTGACCACCCATAATTTCACGTTCTGAAACCTTTCCCGCACCATCTCTAGCCTGACTGTCCTGATTACTTTCTCCGCCTGCAAGCCTAGCAATTCAAGCCTCTGGACCGACCGTCCTCCCACCAGGCACTTATCTTCGTCGTGCTAGAGCTTCTCGTCGAGACTTGTTCCCTGACCGAAACAAGTCTGGACCAAAGACGGACCTCCTCACGCCTGCTGTCTGCCAACATCCAAGCTCCTGAACTGAATGTGCCCTTCAGCACTGCGGGTTGTTTGATCTCCTACCCGGAAGGATGAGACAAACCTTCATCTTTCTGTAATATTCCGACCGTTTTTTCAGCCAGGAAGTGTTTTTTAGTGGTGACATGAATTTGACAACCCTCGGTGCTTTTAAGTGTGGTTCGACCGCATCAATAGTGGGGTAACTAAGTAGAACCAGTGCGCTATGCAAACAGGGTCCTGTCGAAGTGAATGAACAAACGGTTTGTCAAGCTTCATGCGTAGCACCTATAGATCATGAAAGAGAAATTTGGAGAGTGGGTAAGATTCACATTGTGAGCTGTTTCGCATGTCGCATGTTGACGATAAGGTCATATGGCTTGATTTTAGGAGCATGAAACACGCACGATGGGCTGCAAATGAGGCAGGCGTAGGAATATGTGGAAAGGTTGAGCCCACGTTGACTGTGATGTAGAACAAAATGGTATATGGAAAGTCTGCTCTTCCACTCGTGCACTCCAGAAAGACATCGATCCATAGTTCAGTTTATCAGATCCAGTGAGGTAGAGAAGAACCCACTCGTGTGCATATGAGCGAGCAGGCTCAATCCTTTATTCTCACTCTGCAGTCTATTACTGTAGTTTAATTCTGTCGCCACAATACAACAAACAAGAATTTGGTATTGGATTACTCTTTCACCTGCTAGAATATTAATTCAGGAGACATGAGTTCCACACTCCCAACTTCTACTGAGTATAAATTCTGGGATGTACTCTACCTCTTTCCAGTACTACAAAGAAGTCATGCTCCAGATGCAGCAACTTCAGCGGAGGTCAGAGAACTTTATTGAAGTTTTTATCACATCTGGTTAATCCTTCGGGTTGAATGCAGCAATTGTTCTCCAGGTTCAGGTGAGCAAGTTTGAGTTCAACTGTTTCTAAGTCAGAACAACCTGAGTGGAAAGCTGCATATTCATTACATTGCACTAACAATAGCTTCTACAACATGCACGGAACTGGATGCTATTCGATACCTGGTTGCAATATTTTTGTCGAGGTTACAAAAATTGCACGATTCAAGATCTAGAGTGAACCACTGTATGATTGTTAAAAAGTTAATGATTTCGGAGAGCATTATTCTACGTAGTATGTCCTAATGGACAAGGTTGCGTCATAGGGACAGTGACAGATAAAGCAGGGCATCTAAGTGTAGTGCCCAAAAGCCAGTTGATGTCCAAAAGCTCCCTTCCCCAAGGCAACTGTATCACAAAAGATGTGCAACTTCCCAACGCCAGCAGTAAAAGATGGACAAACATTCTACAACTCTACGTGTGCAATTGGTCCTCATTTCTTCAGAGCCACGAACAAAGCTGTTCACGTTGCACATGTGCGAACAAAAGATGGACTGGAGACACTGCTTTTCCTTGAAACCAATCTGGAGAATTACTAACTGAGGCGCATTGCAGTTATCTGTTAAACTATTGAGTACCTATTGCATTGCTGCCGCTGCCTGCACTCACTTCGTTAGCCAGGTAGCTTGTCCTATGTAAGCACACCAGGGTGATGGTTTTGCACGTCCCCGTGTGAGTCACAGATGGTCGAACACTGTTGACTTTCCTGAAGTCGGAATTTCAGAAACACATATTCAGATCTAGAATCCCCTGTGCAAGTCAAACAACTGAGATTTGTATTACAGTATTGTAAGAGAGTTATGGATGATACGACTGTTCAGATCCATACTCCCTCTTCCCCATCCCTCAATTTCGCAGCTAATGTCTCGAGCCTGCAAGTTGTGTTTACTTAACATGATACATCGGATGCCTACTCCTGATTGTAAGTGTGGAATCTGAGACCTTGGCCGTGCAAAGTACACAGTTCTTTTGACCAGTCAAGTGGAGATTCAAGAGGACAAAAGCTCTAAAATAAGTTAATCGCTCGGAGGTACGAGCCCAAGTACGTAGCTCAAATAGAATGCATAGTGCAGATGAATGACCCTTGGAGATCCAGAAAGCCTTCTTTGCGGACAAAGCACTCGTGCACTATATCCCTTCACAGAGCTCGACACATGGCAGAGACGCTTGCACGTCCACAGCTGAACCGCACGGGTGAAGGACGCACGGGGTCCGCGAATTTCTACAGCAACAATAACTATTTCTCAAATATATGCCAACAACATGAGAGTACTTACAACTAAAACTACGTCGGTCAGAAATTATGCATGGACAAATCGACAGGTCAATTGTCTTCGCTGTTTTCGAGTCCAACATTCAGGAGATCGAGTGGCTCATCTAAAAAACCGTTAATAGTTTCTTACTGTCCATGAGCTTACTCTTGTCATCGATCATCATCGGTGGCATGATATAATTATGCGAATGACTCTAATTCTCGAGGGAAGTTCGAGGAACTCAGGTTGACGGGTTTATCTTCAACTCGAACATCCTTCACTTCAACTCCTACGTTCCCGACAGCCTCCACTTGCCATTCCCTCTGTCAAAGCACTGTAGGGCTCGATTGATGAGGCTCGGTGCCTTGAGGACGGCGAGGTAGCATGTCGATATTCTGCTTGCTTAAAGTGAATTCTGACTGATGGTCGAGGATTCAGAACATCAATCTCCTCTCAGTTTCCTTTTCTGCTTCAAGTCTGACCCACGACAGAATAAGAGGTTATAACATCCCTTTGATAGTGATGTAATCATAAAGTCTTGTCTGTTTAAAGCGCATGAATTGATCCTCACTAGAGGAGGAAATGTAACAATGTAATTCAAACATTTGACTTGTGAAACTCTTGCAATTTTCGAGCTTTGTTATCACCTAAGACTTTGACATCCACTTACAAAGGACATTAATCTTCTTTGTTTCTCACGTTACTTGACCTCTTTACGGATGGCATCGTATTAAGCCATAAGCCAGGACATTTAAGTTTTTGAGCATATTATACCTCAACAACCTCAGTGGTAACTGATCATTGAATATTGAATCAACGTGTATTATCCTCACTTGATAAATCTATCCCACATTGATTGAAAAAATAAAAGTAAAAAATACGGATACCATGCTAGACCGGATGATATCATGATGAAATATGTGTATGATAACATATGTTAGTCTAATTATCAACATAAAACGAATTCTAAACTACAGGAAAATAGAAAAATGCGTCAGCTAAGTTAATTCAATCCTACATTCAACGTTGGCAACTTTAGAAGAATGAAAATACTACATCTAAAACAATCTACAAAAGGGCGATGGAAGTGACATGCTTTGTTGTATAAGATAATAGTGTTTCGTGCATTAACTCGCAAACATGTCAGAACCTCCATCCATTTAGCTTTCTTTCTAAGACAACAAAGATGTGAACTCTCTAGATACTTGACAATCATGACTTTTGCCACCACATTACCTTCATCCAAGGAGATAGTTGATTAGCCCCCTAGAGATTAGAGATGTCTAAGATCGGTTAGCAACACATCATCATGAAAGGAATACTCATGAATTATACCTGGTCCAATCCCAAGTGTTTGATTTCTAAAACCCAGTGTTGCCTGACGCAACCCCACTGTCCCTGCCTGGACCGGACGATAGATATCAAATAGTTTATTACACTCTAATAAAGGAAAAACTTCATATGAGAGTATATAAAAATATGATCATGAATAAAAATTTGCTGTTTAGTGAAGATACAATTCAGAACATATAGGTTAAGCTTTCATATGATACATTTGAAACGTCTTGTTACTTGAAATAGCCACAACTTTTGTAAATATCTTGCAACTATCAACCTCATAATTTATCAATGTTTGATCACAAACAACATTTTAAAAAAAGGTATTTTGAAATTCAAATACACATCGAAGTTGATGTTTTTGCCACAATAAATATTCATTGTATGCATGTATAAGATGCATGTTGTTGAAAAAGTTGTTGTAAAACTTTTAATGCTCAAGTAGAGCACATTTTTTTCCTAAAGTACAAATATTGATATAAACTTGTACACAAAAAGGATAGATTTAATTTTAACTTTTCTTAATATATAACTCAAAATAATGTAGTTGAATTAAATAGGAAAATTTGAGTGTATAGACCTGAGACTAGATTCAAAGTATATAGTCAATATAAAATTATTCGAAATGTTTTAAAAAATATTAGTTTAAACTCTAAACAAGAGAATTTAATGTGTCCAAAACATTTATTTATGAAGAGCATATACGTATCGGAAAACAGCATACATTGCTATCAAACATCGTACTACATTATATACAAAGTGTATGATAATCTATTTGTTCTAAGATTATTATCTCAAATTTAAACAATGACTCTATATTGAGAACTTTTTTTAAGGAATAATAGTGAATTTAAAATTAATAATTAATTCATGAAGTAATTATATGTCTAAATCCTACATATTTATTAATATTTTAAATTAAGAATTTTGAATACAGCACCTTTAAATAAAATCCTGAAAAGAGCATATACAATAGTAGTGTGTGATTATCATAATTTAAAGAATAATAAAAATAAAAGAAGTTTTTGCATTAATCATACTTATTTATTTTTTTAAATTAGAAGGATTTTTAGAATCTAACTCAACCAAACCTGATGAAGTCTACTTTGAATCAAAATCAAATCGAACCATTGAAAAATATCATGATCGATAAAAAAATATCTATAACTAATATAAATATATTTGGCTGTATAGCAGATTACTACACAATGGTTTTCTTAAGCCACTTTTTTGTTTCCAAATGTTTGTTAGTTGCATCAAATTATTAGATATATTGAAAATCTGTTACATGATGTCAATACTTTAGATGATGAAAATTGACTATC